GGTGGGGGGGGGCAAACTGAAGCCCTCATGGTGAGAGAGGGAGTGGGGCAGGTGCTGCCCATCCAGGGTGGAGTGCGGCACTGGATGGAGACGCAAGTGGGGGGTGGCTCCCAATGCTACACACACCCCGGGAGGGCATGGGGGGGGTGTGCCCCTGGATCTGCGTGGGGCGAGGGCGGGCTGCCACTGTGGGCTTGGGCTGGGGCCAGTGCCAGACTCTTCCTGGCAGGGGACTGTGCTCGTGGCAGGTGGTGGCAGTGCTGGAAACAGGGCTACAGTGAATTTTGGGGAGGCTGAAGCCCCCACCCCCCCATAGTTCCCCTCCCAACACTGCTACCACCCACCTCGAGCACAGCCCTGGCCCAGCCCCCTGGCACGAAGAGCCCCAGCCCCAGCCCACAGAGGCAGCCTGCCATCGCCCTGTGCACATCTGGGGGCACACATGCCCTTGTGCCCTGCCAGGGTGTATGTAGCGGTGGGAGCTGCTCCCTGGATGAGCCACTCATGGCTCCATCCCATGCCTTGCCTTTCACCGGCTGGGGAGCCCTTGCCCCAGCCCTACTCCCTGTCTCACTGCAGGGGCCTTGATCTGCCCCCCATGTGCCCCTCCCCCCCGCTTCCCCCACAACAGACTTACCAGGCAGACATGGCTGCTGTCCACACTGCTGGGCTGTGCTCCTGGCCCCTTGCATGCTGCAAGGGCATTTATTGGCAACATTATCAGCCACATAAGCCAAAAAAAGCTGATTACTGATAATGTCAATTTTCCTTATATTGGTGCTGACCTGATATGGGACTGATGTATCAGTGCACCTCTAGTAATTTTAGGTGTTGACAGCCCAGAGGCTGCAAGTTTCAGGCCATAACAGAAGTACTTATGGTGCGGTCGTGTCATATTCCAACAAATCTGCAAATTCTGCTAAATGCTTTGTCACAAGGACATGGAAAAGGAAGGAAAGACACAATAGTTCAGTGCAGGAAGTGAGTAAACTCCATACTGTGCAGACTATCCAACACATGAATAGCCCCACTGAAGTCAGGGGTCTAATCATGTTTAAGGGTTGGCAAGATTCAGGATCTTTACTTTCTATCTAGCAACACCAGTCATCAGGCAAGAGGCCAGCTAACAAGGGAGTTTGCTGTGGGTATTTCCCTCATTTTTGTTTTAGCTCTTACTCACTGTAAGCTTGCTGAGCACCAGCTGGTAAGATAGAGGGAAGGAATTTATAGGTGCTAACAGAAGAATGAGAGAGATGACTGAAAGATGTCACAACGTATATGCCACCACAACTGCCAGCTCTTCCTTTGCCTATTACTGTGCAGTTTCTGATCAGGGAGTGCCACTGACCTCTAAGCTAAGACTTAGGCAGGTGTTGGTCTGGCTTTGTGGGAAATGCAGCCTATGTGTTCCTGCCAGAGACAGCCAGGCTTCTGGTGTGGAGGTGCCTCCTCATACGTTCTCTCAGGAACTAGGCAGAGGAGCTGTAGGAGCATGTGTGAACACAAGGACTTGATCAATATGATGTACAAGGAGACTTCCAGGATTGTGAAAAAGGGCTAACCAGAGAAGCTACTGGAAAGCAAGAAAGACTTGGATGCTCAGGAAGGGCAATGGATGGGTATAATTCTTCATGAAGAACAAGCAGGAGGGGGAAAAAAGGAGGCAGTGTTGCTCTACCTATGTAAGATACGTATTCCCGTTTTGAGCTGCTATACAAAGTGAGAGGGTAAGCTGGTTGAAAGTTCCCAAGTCAAGGTAAGGGGAGAATAACGAGGCTGATGTCTTTGTGGGTGTCTGTTCTAGATCACCAAACCCAGGGGAGGGGGTTGATAAAGCTTTTTTTTTTCTTTTAAACAGCTAATGGAAGTATCCAAATTGCAGGATGTAATGTTAATGGGGAACTTTAATGTGACATTTGGTGAGAGGATAACACAGCAGCATGCAGGCAACCTACTGATTTTTCTGGAATGAGTTGGGGATAAGGAGATAATGTTTTGCTGCAGATGAAGGAAAAGTCAACAAGGAAGACAGTTCTCAGTTTGATGATTACAAACAGGGAGGAATGTGTTGAGAATGTGGCAGTGGAAGGCAATTTGGGTGACTGAGCATGAACTGATATAATTCAAGATCCTAAGGTAAGGAAGGAAGAAGGAGAGGAGCAGAATAAAGACATTGGACTTGAAGAAAGCAGACTTCCACAAACTGAGGCAACTGGTGGGCACAATCCCTTGAGAGGCAAGTCTGAAGGCGAAAAGAGTCCAGGAGAGAAATTGAATTGCAGGTGATGTGGAAAAAGTTGGTGTTTAATGCCTTTTTTAGTTTAGTTTTTACAAAGGGTGTTACCATATGATGACCCCAGATGATAGCAAATATAGGGGACGAGAAAGCAGCCTAGACTAGTATGGAAGAACAGGGTAGGGATTACTTCGAGAAGCTGTATTTTTTCAAGTCATCCTGAAGCAGT